CAACCCTCCCTGAGTGTTGTGCTCTTCACAGGGTATAGAAGCAGCTTAGCCAGTGCCCTGCATACATGAAGTGTCCCACAGTAGCCAGATCAAAGGCAAGCTCTGATCACTACCCTCCAGGGCTTTCCAGATTCCAAAACTGAGTTTCTATCTAGACACCACAGCCCTTGTGGGAGACCCTGTGCTGCTGTGTGGTCCCAGGGCTGAGCACAATTTCAGCCCACCCACGTACTAGCTACTGCCCTGGTCAATTGCCTGTGGATCTTGGGCAGGAAGGTGCCCCACTGTGGTTTCTCCTTCAGTTTCCCCATCACTACTCAGTTTGGCATTCATCTTGAGGATTTTATTCAAGTAGGTATGGGGGGAATTGTGCTGTATTAACTCCTTCTGGAACACCATCCTGGCTGGTCTATAAAATTCCACTGCCACTAAACATTGTTGATGGAATTGGTCCAGCCATTCTATAAAGCAATTTGGAACTGTGCACCAAAAGTCACTAAAGTGCACATATCCTTTGACCTAATGACTCAATGAGCCAATGATAATACAATTAGGCTGTAATAGATCTATTGTTTCCCTGACAGTTTCCCATCCACAACATAAGAAGACTACCTAAAAGACAAAGTTGCCCCAGGGATGTGAAAGGCCTAAGAAATTAGTTCAGTTTCCTTCCCCATCCCTCTCCCCAGCCACCTCTTAGACAACAGGGGATAGGGCTAGAATAAAGCTGCCCTTGGAACTTAATTGACCTCAGCTTCTGCAATGTACCATCCTAGTCATCTAAGGGCATAAATTCTAAAAAGGTACTGGTAATATAGCCATAAGTTTGACATGGCTTATGGGATTTGAATACAATGGAATATTATGAGTCATAAGAAATAACAAAAAGGATAATTCCAGAGGAAATTGGAAATACTTCTATGAAAAAATGTGGTGAAATGAGCAGAATCGATACAATTTATATGACAAAAACATCATAAAGATAAAAAACTTTAAGACTTGAAAATTATTGAATGTAATGACCAATTACAATTGCAGAAGACTCAAAGATGAAGCTACTTACCACCTGACAGAGTGGCTGGTGATAGAGAAGGATCATTTTTAGACATAGTAAATGAGGGAATTTGCCTCACTTACCTATGCTTGTTACCAGGGTTTTTATTTTTCTATTTTTTTATTGTTATTCAATTAGAGAAGTGGAGTAGAGGAGTGGAAAGGAAAGGAAATAAAATAAATGCATGTAAATTGGAAGAATACTAAAATTAAATTGGAAAAAAAATTTTTCCACTGCCACAAACCTCTGCATATAGGGGAAGGAGAGGTCCTCTCCAGCTTTTTTTTTTTTTTGGTGAGGCAATTGGGGTTAAGTGACTTGCTCAGTCACACAGCTAATGAGTGGTATGTATATGAGGCCGAATTTGAACTCAGGTCCTCCTGACTCCAGGGCCACTGATAGGATAGAACTTCAAAAAGACTATTATCTGGTAGAAACTCTAGAGAGATAGCCACAGGCTGAATTTAAGCATATTATTCAGGGGACCAAAAAAAATTAATTGGAATTCCCTCGAGTAACTGCCCAGCACCAAATCCTCACCATTGGTGTGACATGGGCCATGTGGCACATGGAAGACCCATTCCTGGAGCTGCTCCTGCTGGGGACCCAGGTCCTTCAGATGGAGGTACACCTCAGGATGGTGTGAGGCCATGACTAGTCTTCTTGGACCCAGCCGCTTGGAAATGTAGCCCACAGTGGGCGCTAAACTCTAAAGCTAAATACTGGTGCTAGATTGATAGTCTACAAGTCCCAAAGGAAAACTGAAAGGGAACTTTGAAGAGAGTTCAAGAAGATGTAAAACCATTGAAAGGTAAGAGGATGGAGTTTCTTCTCCCTACCCCATTATACCCTCCAAGAAATTAGGAGTGGGCTGTCTTTCTGACACCACGACTTTCACAGAGAGGAGAAAGATGAACATTTTCCACTTGGGCTGAACAGACCAGAGAAGAAAAAAATAAATCTATCCAGATAAACAGGCCGAGAATACAAACAATGTTGTCTGTCAGTCAAGTCAATAGCATTTATTAAACATCTACTATATGCCAGGCACTTTGTTAAGCAATGGAAATACAAAGAAAGGCAAAGGTCAGTCATTGCCCTCAAGGAGCTCACAATCTAATGGTAGAGACAATAAGTAAACAAATTTATACCATTAAGCTACATACTGGACAAATAGGAAAACAATTAATGGAGGGAAGGCACTAAAATTTAATTAAAATTCTTGTAGAAGGTGAGAATTAAATCCATGGGAGCTGATGAGATCACTAAGTATAAAAGAGTGAGAGAGAAGAAAGGCCTGTGAGACGTACAGTTGGAAGACTGTATCCTGATGAGGATCCAGCAAAGGAGAACCAGAAGAGAATGGTACCCAGAAAATCTGACGGGGAAATAAAGAATATCAAGGAGAAAAGAGTGGTCAATACCATCCAAAACTGCAGAGAGATCAAGAATGAGGACTGAGAAAACACCATTTGATTTGAACATTAAGATCATTAGTAACTTCGGAGAGAGTTTTGGTGGAATAATGTTTGAAAGCCAGATTGTAAGGAGTTAAGAAAGTGAGAGAAGTGGAGGCATCTATTGCACACAACTTTCTCAATAATTTTTGTCACAAAAGGCAGAACAGAGATACTAGGCCTGGCTGTGGGGGTGTATGGAAGCCTAGCCTAGCCTATTTATAAGGTGATAAGTCAGGTCTATTAAGGGTTTTGTTTTGTTTTTTAAGGATATGATGACTGATGCTGACAGCCTAGGCAGGGCATCCATTTTAAGGTTTCTAAGAATCTCACTTCCTTGTCTAACCCCGTAACTAGCACAATTTGGTAAAATAGCTCTCTAAGCTACGACATGTAGAAGTTCAAACCTGGGTCTAACCAAGTCAATCAGCCACAGAACTGCTTTCTCTTCTTCTAAATAAGAGTCTTAAGTACTTTTTGTCAAAAAAGATTTTGATAGTGTGGTGAAATCTACGGAGTCCTCCTCAGAATCATGTTTTTTCCTAATTGAAAAAATTGCTAAATTTCAATTTTTGTTGTTCAGTAATTTTAGTTGTGTCCAACTCTCCATGACCCCATTTTGGGTTTTCTTGGCAAAGATACTGGAGTGGTTTGCCATTTCCTTCTTCAGCTCAATTTTACAGATGAGGAAACTGAGGCAGAGTTAAATGATTTGTCCAGGACCACACAGCTAGTAAGCATTTGGGGCCAGATTTGAACTCAGGAAGAGAAGATTTCCTAACTTCAGGCCTGGCACACTATCTGCTGAGCCACCCAGCTGCCCCTACATTTCATTTAGAAGTTACTAAAAAATATTTTTTCCCATCCTAAACACCATGGACCAAAGGTCAAGAATCTCAATCCTACAAAAAACAGTAAGCTACGAACCTTGCATCTAGTCTCTAGGAAACTGCAGAGAAGATTCTGAAAAGTAGCAGCAAGATAAAACCAAGTATGTAGACCTTATTACATAACTGAATTCTGTCTTTAACAATTTTTTCTTGTGTACGTATGGGGCCGGTGGAGGTATACATGTCTGCCTCTAGCTACTAAAATAAAAAAACTGAGCAAATGTTTCAGAGAGCAAGAAGAAACAAAGTATGTACATAACACTCCATCTTTTCTTGTCTGCTTCTGTTGGCTAAGTAAATCTTTCTCCTCTAAAAGTGGCTAAAGAGCCTAGCATTCAGCAAAGTGAAGCAACATTCCTGGAATTCAGCAAGAGGGTAAAAGTGAGAGATGCATTTCATATTTATACCTTGGATCTCAACATCAAAAATAATAATTTGCGACAACAGCTTGTCACTATTGGTAGTGGGACCTGCAAACTATTTCTGGAAAATTTTTAGAATATATTAAGAAAATAATTTGTGAGTATAGAAAGGAAGCAGGGATTACTAAAAGCCACCACAGCTTGATCAAGAACAGGCCTTGCAGACTAATTTTATTTCCTTTTTCTCCCTACTAAGTATGGTAACAAAACTGTAGGTCAGAGAAATGTTATCAGCGTAGTATAGAGTTCAGTAAATATGGCCTAGCTGACTAGGCCTAGTTAGGTGAAAATGGGACTGGACCCAAAAAATAGTCAATTAATGCCAACTTATAGATAGGCATCTAGTTATGAACTCCAAGGTTCTGACCTTGTCCCTATGCTACTGAACATGTTTAACAGCAACTTGGATAAAGCCATAAATGTTTTCACCAAATGTGAAAACACCACAAAACTTGGATGACAGAGTTCAGATTCAGAAAGATTTTGACAGTCAATAATGATAAATCAACTTACTATACCTAAGTAGGGTGAAATATAATAGGGGAAAAAATAAGCTGAACAAGTTCACAACTGCATACTTACATAGAAGTTTGTTTTGTTTTCAGAAGCAGGGCTAGTGAATCTGCAAACTCAATATGAGTAAACTATATATACATACACGTATATATATAGACATACATACATATATGAATGATACATACACACAAAGTATTTCATTGATACTCAAAAATCAGGGCTATTTGTCATGATTAAATGTCAGTTAATTACTTTGTTCATCATTCTCATGACTCACACATATTATTGGTAAGTAAACTCACCAAAAGTAAGATTTATTTAGATGTTTTTAGACAGAAGGCAAACATTTTAAATAGTTAATTAGAAGTTACCCTTCAAATAAGATTAAACTTAATGTTTACTTAAGACTGAAGATGTGCCCAGCAACAGACTGCATGTTTTCCCTCCTTCAAGAAACGATCTTCATTCAGAAGGCTCATCGCCAGCTTGATGAATTTTTTTTTTTGCCATAGTAACTCTCAGGGACTGTCATTTCTATTTGTGAAGGGGATACCCACACTGATGAAACCATGCATTCATGCAGTGAAATAGAATTTTAAGATGAATTTCCAAATGAAATGAAATTGTTGCTTATACTGCATATTTCAACTTTTCGTTGTCATTAACTGTCTATCTTCACCATTATAAAGTTAGAATTAAGCTATTGCATTTTTTCTCAAAAAGTTCTTAATTCAACTTATAAAATTTGATAAACAACCAAACAAGTCATTTTTCACAACATGGCTGACACTAAGAAACAAAAATTATATTTAAAAGTTAATGAAAATGACAGTATCTTTAAGAGAAAATTTTAATCTGGAAAGGAATATAAAAAGGAGCAGGAAAAAAACACATTTAAATAATGATTTACTACTTAACTCAGCTGAGGGTACAAACTGTTCAACTTATTTAACTGAAATATAATATTAATAAAATGTATTCATATTTTATTCATAGTCTTATCATATAGTTATTATTCCCATGTTTATGTTTAATAAATCAATTAAAATATATTCTCAATTAAGAAAGGTAGAATATTCATTTATTTTCCTGATAACTGAAGCATAAATCCTACTGCAACAGAATCATAGATTTAGAGCCTGACAAAATCCAAAAAAGGGCATTTAATGCAGAGGTTCTTAACTTTTTTTGTGTCATGAACATCTTTGGCAGTTTGTGAAGGCTCTGGATCCCTTCTCATAATAATGTTTATGCTTGTGATTACAAAGGAAACCAACTAAATTGAAAGACAGTTTATCAAAATATTTTTTCAAAAACAAGTTCATGGGCCCCAGTTTAAGAACACCAAATAAACTGCAACCCATTGACTGTACAAATGAGAAAATTGAGGTTCAGATGAAAGTCACATAGCTAAGGCTACACAGACATTAAGTATGGCCTGACACCATATCCGGCGCTCTTTCCACTGTACTACAATACAGAATTCAGTTTAAGCATTTTCATCTTTGCAATCACATACAAATATAAAAATACTTTAAAATTTTAATTTATTGTCAATATTTTTACAATTCAGGAATGATCAAACGGCTGCATTTTCCACCGTTGCTTTATTTTCATCTTCCGTTACCTGTAAAATGTTAAGGTAATTACTTTACAAAAACTTACGTGTTTATAACCTAAATCATTCCCAAAATTTAATTAAATATATTTCACCCTATTCACTCAAAATAAATAGCACGTCAACTAGTTGCTTCTGCAGACATAAGGAAAGTGGTCACTACTGATCTGGAAAAAACTGTTTACCAAGTATATTTAAAATATCAACAACTAAGGTCAAGAGATTAGGATCTATAAAGTTACCAAAATAATAATTCATTGATTTCTACTCTTCATTCTCTAGATATATTAGGATTCATTACCATTCTCTCTTATTTTCAACCTTCCACCTATAACTCTGTTTTGAGTACTCAGAATTATTCTTTAGATTTCTTCCCTCTCTCAGTAAAACCATTATTGACAACTGCTTTAAAAGGACATTTAGCAAGCCATCCTCATATTCATTTCCTTCCCCCCTACCCCCACCTTGGATTCAAGAGAATCATTATCAGTTAAAAATATATTGTTATTACATATATACAAGTATATATATTATGGTTAATAATGAACTTGGGCTAATTTTCCAAAATTGAGAATACCTATTAGTAATATCATCAAGTATATTAAGGCAGCTAAGTGGTGCAGTGGATACAGTGCCAGGCCTGAAGTCAGGAAAACTCATTTTCCTGAATTCAAACCTGGCCTCAGACACTTACTAGCTGTGTGACCCTAGCTAGGCAAGTCACTTAACCCTGTTTGCCTCAGTTTCCTCATCCGTAAAATGAGCTGGAAACAGCAAACCACTCAAGTATCTTTGCCAAGAAAACCCCAAATGGGGACATGAGGAGTTGGACATGACTCAAAAACAACAAAAATCTTATTATTAAAGTATTTATGTACTTTATCTACAATGTATTTGTCTACTATGTGACAATACTATATATTTATCTACTAGGTCATAAGTACAAAGCAGATAAAATAAAAGACACAGCATATAAAACAGTTACTGAATTTAAAGTTAGTCAAACAGTTAGTTAAAGTAGGGGATTTTAATGAAAATGCAAAGAGGAAAGGAGAAGGCATTCAAGAAAGGGAACAGCGTGAACAAAAGCATGAAGGGAGAACCAAAGTGGTCTTGATACAGGATTTAAAGTAAAATGGCCTTACAGAAGTATCAGGAAGATATAGCTGAAATAATACAGCAAGGCCAAACTATAGAGGTCTAGGTCTAGTCTAAGGCCATAGTCTTCTCATGTAAGGACTTTTGACATTTTTCTCTTTCATTCTTCAACATGACTAATGTAGAAATATATTAAACATGATTGTACAGGTTATGGGGAGGGGGCATGGAAGGGAGACAAAAATTTGGAACTCAAAATCTTATTTTTAAAAAAAAATGTTGAAAATTATCCTCATATGTAATTGGAAAAAATAAAATACTATTCATTTAAAAAAAAAAACTTTTGCCACGATGGAAAAACTGAAAATTACGGCCAAACCCGATGCCTTAAAACTAGAAAATGTTTAATTAACATATACTTACGAAACGTAAGCGTTTGTTAAAAGCTAGTGATAAACTTAGAAGACTTCAACTTAGACAAGTGACTACAGCTGACCCTAGAATGTACCCTTACTAATGATTGTAAGCAACTTATAGATATTAGCCCAAGTTAGATCTCTTAGAATATATACATACACACATTTGAGCACGTCAGTAGCCTATTTTCCCAGTTTGAGGAAATACTTAAAAAACTGTAATACTTTGAACTTTCACTGTTTAAGTTTACAAAGAAAACTATCTAATATATCACATATTATGAAATATTTTAACCAAAAGCATCTCTTTTAACCAGAAGTATTTTCTTAAATTCCCTATTTTTTCCAAAAATAATAAAAACTACCAAAAAAAATTCCCAAAAGACTTTTTTTTGCCACAAAGTTCTTGAACATGCAATAAAGCACAAAATTTTTAGATATCAGTACAATGAGCATTTTCACTAGTTTGCCTTTGAAATTTTAACTAATTTCCATCCTAGAAGACATCTAGTTAATTGCAACATATACTTTACTTACTATTTTCCTAGATCTTTCCAATAACTTGTGCCATATAGTATGATGCGCCTAGAAAAGAAAAATATTCAATGAATTCTAATCATCAAAAACAAAGATGGTGATAATGATAGTTAGAGTTTATAATGTACTTTATGGTTTCCAAAGTGCTTTACATGTTGTTGCATTTTATCCTCACAATAACCCTGTGAGACAGACTTTACTATTACACCTGTTTTACAGATGAGGAAACTGAGGCACAGAAAAGTTAAGTGACTTATCTAGAGTCACATAGCTCACGCTTATTTGAGTCAGGACTTGAACTCAGATCTTCCTGACTCCAAGTCACTGTGTCCACCCAGCTGACTGCTTGTCTGTATCTTTTTTAAAAGACAAAATTGAAGGGCCAGCCTAATAAAATGGCTCCCTAAAAGGCAATCAATGGAGAAAAAAATAAATATATGAAGTTCTATTAATTACCATAGATTAATTAATGGTACTTTAATTACCATATATACATACACACACACACACATAGAATAAATATAACAAAAATAAATTCAAAAAAGCTGGGGGAGCAGTAATAGAGAGATGAGGAAAGGCTTTGTGTAGAAAACGGCATTTAAGCTTAGTCTTACAGAAATATAGGGATTCTATGAGAGGTAAGGAAAAAGTACATGAAGGAAGAGCCACTTGACTACAGATTGTTTATCTGTCCTCTTTTTAACGTAGGCTTGTTTGATCTCTCAAAAAGACAACACTTGGTCTTACTATCAGACACAAAATACTGGGCTAGAAGGATATAATATCGACAGCAATTCTATTTTAATATTTGGCTGGTGATACTATAAGATTTCCCTTAGGAGACTGATAAAACTATTCAAAAAGAAAAACACATATTGTTCAGATAACGATGTGCATCTGGAGAAAGAGTCCACAAGCATATCATAATCTTGGACACATACCACAGATAGATAATGTTCTAAAACAAGAGGAAAATATAAGCATGAAAATAAAAGAAACATTGCATTTATGAAACTGCACAATGCTTTCAACAACTTCAAACAGCTCACTATTACAAAAGCCCATAATTTCAACACCAAGATTCTCTTGGTCATGCTTCATGGCTTTGAGATGCAAACTTTCAGGTGCGACAATGGGCAAGGGAAATTAAAAAGGTAACTATAAAAGGTGGCAGGGCATTGCCAACAATGACTTGTGCATAAGAAATATCAAACAAGGAGATATTACATTCAGCTACTTATGCATTTTACAAAACTGATTACAGTCTACACCTGTGGATGCAGTACTCAAAGATCAAACTATGTAAATGTTACCAGGTTTCCATTTTCCTATTTAATCTTCAAAAAATGATTCTTAAGATTGAGTGGGTATTTCATTGAAAGAGGAGCTCTGTATCAATTCTTAAGCCAATCTTAACCATTAATATTTAGGACGGTATACCAAATCTAATTAGAGGATATGAAAGGAAAAAGAGAATTTGCATAGACTTCTGGGTCACATAAGCAACAAACAAGATGGAAGAATAAACAACCTCTCAAACCTCTGCAAAACAAAAATTATGCAGCTAAGACAAAGAAATTTTAGCTCTCTCCATGATCTAGGACATGCAGAATCCAAGCTAAGGTTAAAAACAAAATCAATCAGGACCACTCCCCTAACTCCCACACTTCTGGTAATCAGGTTGCACTAGCAGAACAGGGCACAGGCTTACAACAAAACCCACTCCTGCATGCCAATTGTTGCTTTTTAGTGCTGTGTAAATGTCTACTCCAGGCTGCAGGAGTTTGCTTGGGCTTGACAGCCATCTTGGCTACAACCATTCAGGAGCAACCCAGAAGAACCAGTACTGCAAAGCTCTGGACTGCTGGTGCCCAGCCAGGGAATGGAGGAAAACAGGGAGTGGGATGTGTCCTCAGAGGGCTATGCAGCACTCCACCAAGCCTACGGAACAGCCTAACATTTGGCCAGGGTCAATTCTGACCACCCAAAAGTCAATTGGGACAGAAACAAGTTGGTGATACATGAACTGACGAGTGTGAAAGAAAGCTGAGATACTTTGAGATCTAGTCCCTGAGGAAACCATAATCAAAAGACAGGGAGTCAGAAAGTGAGTGATAAGTAAAATAAGAGGGGAAAAAAAGATTAAAATTACCAAAGATTTCAGAAAAAGAAAACTCAAAAACTTCAAAAATTAACAGATAGGTCAACAGCAAAAACAGATTGAAAAATGGCCTCTAAATCTAGTAAATGAGTTCAGGCACCTATGAATAAATACAGTAAAACAAAGGAAAATTATCCAACACTTGATGAAACAGAGGACCCTATGGAATTTGAGAAAACAGAACCACAACACACTGTTTCTGAATGGCTTAAAAGAAATGAGAATTATGAGAACATTATTTATGTCCTGTACAGCAAAAATCACAAACAGAATTAAAAAACTGAAGTCTGCAATGGCAAGCCTCACCAAAGAAACAAAAAGAGAGACAATAGATTGGAATGCAAATATACAGACGTGAAGGACAACCTAGAAAAAGAGAAGCAGAAAACAATTAACACTTTTTTTAAATACACTCACTATGCCAGCAAAACATGCTGATATCAACGAGAGGATATATAAAGACAACTTTAGGATCACAGGTCTCCAAGTAGAACATGATGGTACAAAAAACCTTAACACCATAATGAAGAAAATAATAGAACTGTACAGAAAATTAAATTCCCATGGAAAGAATTCAGATTGCCTCCAGAAAAAAAAACCTCAAGGCTATAAACTCTAAGACATATGGAAGATAAATTTAACAATTCAATTCAGAAACAAGTTCTTCAAGCCATTATGAGAAAGACCTTCAAATATAAAGGAAGGGACATTTGAATGACTATTCTGAATACACCAAAAAAAGATGGAGGGAATGCAATATGTTCCAAAAGAAGAGCAACGGAGTTCAGGATACAGCACAGGGTAATTTAGCCTGAAAATTCTAGCTTAGACGTCCCTGAAATAAGATGGACTTCAACAACAAAGAGTCTGAAATATTCTTAGAAAATAAGAAAAGATTGCTTCTCAAACACCTCACACAGAAACAGGAAATAAATGCAACAGGCAAAGACAACAACAGCACAGAGTGATAAGAGGTAGACCAATAAGACAAATTTCTAAATGTACACAAGGAGAAAGGGTAAAGGCAGAAATCTGATAGAAGTAATAGCAAAGAGGCGGACAGAGTGCATTATGGACAGAACCTGGCAACACCCTCCCTGCAGATGAATCAATGCTTTTTTTTTTTTGTAGGACTGAATTACAGGATAAGAAGGTACAAAAAAGAGAAGGGGAGGGGAATAGGAGTCTGGCAGAAATTAGGTTTAAATCAACACCACACTTCATAATACATTCCAAATGGATGCACAACCTTAATATTAAATATCATACTATAAAAAAGTTAAAAGAAAATCAGATCATATACCTCCCAGTGGTATGGATAGGTGATGTATTCTTAACCAAACAAGAGGTAGAGGCAATTGCAGAAGATAAGACACATAATTTTGATAACTTGAAACTGAAAAGCTTCTGCATAGACAACATTAATGCATGCAAGGTAAGAAAAGTAGTTGAAGGGGAAGCTAGGTGGTGTAGTGGATAGAGCACCAGCCCTGGATTCAGGAGGACCTGAGTTCAAATCCGGCCTCAGACACCTAACAGTTACTAGCGGTGTGACCCTGGGCAAGTCACTTAACTCCATCACCTAGCCAAAAAAAAGAAAAAGAAAAGAAAAGTAGTTGAAGGGCAGAAAAAAATCTTTGTATCAAATTTATCCAATAAGGGTTTAGTATCCAAGTTATATATACAATAAATATACATTAAAGACTATTCCCCAAAAGACAGATGGTCAAAGGGTATGAACAAATAGTTCTCAAAAGAAGAACTGCAAAGTATTCAAAACCACATAAAAAATATTCCACATCACTAATAAGAGAAATGAAAATCAAAACTCTGAGGTTTCACATCCTGCAAACTGGCAAAGATGATAAAAAATGGCAACAGTCAATGCTGAAGAGGCTGTAGATGGATAGGCACAGTACTACACTGTTGGTGAACCTGTGAAATTGTACAACCATTTTGAAAAGCAATTTGGAATTATGCAAATAAAATGACTAAAATGTCCATATCCTTTGAACCAGAGACTCCATTGCTAGGCTTATATCCCAAGAAGCCATCGATAAGAAAAAAGTCCTCATATATTTACAGCAACACTTTCTGTGATAGCTAAGAATTGGAAACAAAGTAGATGTCCATCAACTGCAGAATGGCTGAACAAATTGTAATACACGAGTGCCATGAATTATTACTCTGCTGAAAGAAATGATGCACATGATGAATACAGAGAAGCATGGAAAGGCCTATATGAACTGATGCAGACTGAAGTAAGCAGAGAATAAAACAACAGAATACAACAACAGAAATAAAAGGCACAATGGCACACCAGAAAAATCAAAGGTACATTAAACAAAATTATAAGTGGGATTTGAATGAAGACATATAATTTGAAATCCACTTCCCCCACCCTACCACTTCATGGAGGAGGCAGGAGGTTTGCAGGTGTCAACATTGCACATGTTTTTGGACTTTTTCAAGCTTATCCATCAGTTGTGCTGACTTTTTTTCCCTCTCTAAAAAAATACTTATTTGTCATATGGGATGGCACTCTAGGAAGGGGAAAGGAGGAATACAAACTATACTGATGTATGAAACAATAAATACCAGTAAAAACATATATATACATATATATAAAATATTAGCAGGCAAAGGTCAATTTTACTTAGCATTAGTATTTAGGCAGCGAAGCAAACTTTTTATTTAATAACTACTTTAAGGCTATATAATACAATGAAACTGAATTTATATTTCCACTCAACTAAGTGAGAATTAAGTTCAGAACGTAATATTAACTAATAATAAAAGAAAGTTGTACTTTAAGTACTTACTCTTAAGTGAACTGGTAAAGAAAGGCCCTGGAATCTTCGTAGACGATCTAGTTGGGCACCTTGAAGATCATGAACTGCTGAAACTTCATACTGGAAGCAAATACTTGTCCTTGAAATGAGGGGACCCTCACTAACATCCACAAAGTCACCAAATCTCATTTGATTAAGAAAAAAAAATCAAAATCAAAATCAGAGGCATAATAAATGACTTATTAATATTACTTTTAAAAAACTTAGGGAAAAGTCTACTGCCTCTTTTCCACAATCATAATATATCCGTGTTCAACTGGGACCAGAACTATATATCCATGAGGAAACCCAGGACTCTCAAATCATACAGAGAAAAAGAAAGGTGAAACAGAGAAGGGAAGCAACACAAAGATCCTGATGCGTACATGTGCCAATCTGCATTTGGGAGGGTCTACAGATGAAAACAAATGACCTACATATGTTTTCCTTAAAAGTTCTAAGAAAGGAAAAAATGGTGGGTTCTTAGGAAGACATTTAGGGTCAAGTGAAGACGTATTTGTTAAGTACCTACCATGCACCAGGCACTGCGCTAAGCACTGGGGATACAAAGAAAGGCAACAATCAGTTCATGACCTCAAGGACCTCACAATTTAACAGGGGGAGACAACATGAAAACGACTATGTACAATGAAGATACATGCAGGATCAATAGGAGATAACAGAGGGAAGATACTAACATTAAGGAGGACTAGGAAACATCTCTTGCAGAAACTGGAATCTTAGCTGAGACTTGAAGGAAAACAGGTAGAGATGAGTAGGGAGAGAACTTCAGGAGTGGGGGTAAACCAATGAAAATGCACACGTTGAAAAATGAAAAACCCTGTGTAAGGAACAGACAGTGTGGAGGTCAAAGCGAAAGAATGCCTACTTTCAAGGTTTGATTGAATGGATGATCCATAAAGTTGGTCCATCAGTTCAAATATTCTGAATATATAATGAAGTCAGAATGGAATAGTGCATTCAACCCAGAATTAATCAGAATGAGAAATGCCTTTAAAATTCTGTGCAGAGAGCAAAGCCAAGATAGCCGAGTAGAGACAGTACTCAAGCAGAATTTTTCTAAAATTCCTCTCTAAACAACTTTAATAATGCCTCAAATCAAGTTCTGGAGTGGTAGAGGCAACAAAAGGTCAGGGTAAGACATTTTTCCAGTCTAAGACAAGTAAGAGGTCAGCGGGAAAGGCTTGTGACACCAGGGTTGGGGCCAGCCCGAAACTAGTGTAGTGGCTGCAACAGCAATAGCAGCAGCATCTTTGAGAGTTCTCAGCCCAGAGACAGTAGACAGGCTCAGACACCTGGTTAGAAAAAGATTACAGGGGACCATTTCCTGGCACTGGATGCAGCTGATGCTGATTGGCAACTCTACTGTCCATATGTAGTTCATGGTCAGAGTTTCAGGGCAGTGAGGAGTGTTTGCAGTCAGTAACAAGGGAACAGGGGCTCTGGTCACAGTTCCAAAAAAGAGAGGAGCACTATTGTCTACAAAGGAACAAGAGAACTAATCAGAGTTTCAGGGACAAAAAGGGGGCATTAGCACCTGTGTCTATGAGAGAGCAAGAACCCTTCCTAGAAAAAGATCAAAAGGTAGATCAGTGACCACACCTCTCCCTGGATCACACAACCTTGGAAGCATTAAACACTTGCAGACTCCCCAAAAAATGGGAGCTCTGAAAACAGAGCAGAAAAAAGTCTGAAGCTTGGGACAAGGCCTCCCTACCCCAAGGTGAACAGAGCCCAGCTTTAACATGAAGTTAAAAGTCAAGAAATATGCTAGAAACATGAACAAACAATAAAAAAAGAACTTGACCATAAAAAACTACTATGGTGGCAGGGAAGACCAAGACATAAACTCAGAAGAAGACAGCACCATGAAAGCATCTATAAGTAAAGCCTCAAAGAAAAATGCTAATTGGACCCAAAACCAGCAAAAATTTCTGGAAGAGTTAAAGAAAGAGATAAGAAAAAAAAAATCAGATGCAAGAAAATTATGAAAAGAGAATTAACACCCTGGTAAAAAGAGGCCCAGAAAAAAAAGTACTCAAAATAACACCTTAAAAAGCAGAATTGCCCTACCCATAAAATAGACACAAAAATTCACTGAAGAAAAGAACTCCTTAAAAAGCAGAGTAGTACAAATGGAAAAGGAGGTACAGAAATTCATTGAAGAACAGAACTCCTGAAAAATCAGAAATGCTAAATGGAAAAAATCAGTACAAAAACTTACTGAAGAAAATTATTTCTTAAAATCAGAATTGGGCAACTAGAAGCTAATGATTCCATGACACAACAAGAAACAATAAAACAAAGTCAAAAGAATGAAAAAATAAGAAAAAATGTTAAATATTTCACTTGAAAAACGACTCAACCGGAAAACAGATCAAGGGGAGGTAATTTAAGAATTATTGGAAAGAACCTAGACATCACATTTTAAAAAATTAACAAGAAAACTGCTCTGATATCTTAGTTCCTGAGTGTAAAACAAAAACTGAAAGAATCCACTAATCATCTCCTACTTCCCAGGATATTACTGCAAAATTCCAGAGCTTCCAACTCAGTCAGAAAGAAATAATTCAAATATCATGGAGTCACAGTCAGGATCACACAATATTTAGCAGTTTCCATGTTAAAGAAAAAAAAAGGGAGATGGAATATGATATACCAGAAGGCAAAGAAGCTACCAAGAATAACCTACCCAGTAAAAATTGTTTGTTTACATTCCTATATGGGAAGTTGATTCTTATAACTCCTAAGAACTTTATCATTATTAGGACAATTAGAAGCAGTCTACATAGAAAGAGGGGGGAGCTGGGTGGCACAGTGGACTGTGTGCTACGCCTGAAGTCAACAAGACTCATCTTCCTAAGTTCAAATCTGGCATTTACTAGCTTTGTGATCCTGAGCAAGTCACTTAACCCTCAGGCTGCCTCAGTTCTCCATATGTAAAATGTCAAATCACTCCACTAACTCTGCCAAGAAAACCCCAAATGGGGTTAAGAAGAGTCATATACAGCTAAAATGACTGAACAACAAACACAGACAAAAGACACAGGTGTGAGCTGATTATGCTGGAATGATCTAAAAAAAAAAAAAGAACGGGTGAGAAAGATAGATGCACTGGGAGAAGAGGGAATGGAGAAGAAGAATGAGGAAAATCTCACATAAAAAAGTTATGTAAGGAAGAGCTTTTACAGTGGTGGGGAAAAGAGGCGGGGGAGATGGAGGATAATGCTTGAATCTCACTCTCATTGGAACTGATTCAAAGAGGGAAGAATATGAATATATACAGATAAACATATCTAGATAGATATCTCTTTCTAGATACCTAGATCTATCTATCTATCCATTCAGCTATGTATAATCTATCTTACCCAAAAGGGAAATAGGAGGGGAAGACGTTAAGGGGGGGAGAGGAGGGTGTTAAAAGGGAGAGTAGATTAAGGTAGGCAGCGGTCAGAAGCAAAACACTTCTGAGAAGGGATAGGATAAAAAGAGAGAGAGGAAGATAAACAGAAGAAAACAGGATGGAAGGAAATACACAGTAATCATAACTGGGAATGTGAATGAGATGAACTCACCCATAAAAAACTAGAATCCAACAATATCCAACACACAGGGTTAAAATAAGGGGCTGGAGCAGAATCTAATATACTTCAGCTAAAGTAAAAATGCAGGACGTAGTAATCATGATCTCACACAAAGCAAAAACAAAAATAAACCTAATTAAAATAGATAATCAGAGAAACTAAATTTTGCTAAAAGGTACCATAGAAAATGAAGTAATATCAAAAGTTTTTACAAATTTCTCTGATAAAGACCTCAGCTCTCAAATATATAGGGAAATGAATCAAATTTACAAAAATAAGAGCCATTCCCCAGTTGATAAATGGTCAAGGGATATGAACAGGTGGTTTTCAGAAGAAATCAAAGTCATATGAAAAAATGTTCTAAATCACTAATGAAACTGAGATGTAGAAGTAACAAGAATAAACATCTGAGTGAGGAATGAAGATAAAATAGATTCAGAAAGCAATAAAAATCTTTCAACACATAAAGCACCCATTTCATGAACAAGTTAATAAGAATATAAAAGTAAAATGCATAGCTACCTATTTCAGCTTTATCTTCAATAAACCTTAGTTTTGCTAAGGGCTACTTTTTAAAATTAGGTTTTAGTTACCTGTTTAATTTTACTATTCTCTCAGGATTCTGTGATGCTTTCTCTTCTATAAACTGCATTTTGTACCTTAACAGAAACAAAGAGGAGAAAAAATTGTATAGATGATATTTTTTCACTCAGATTAGTGAAAACACTTTAAAAAAACTTACAAATTTTCCCCACAACTATTAGCTATTCCTACTCCACAGCACTTTGTACTTCTGTTACGGCACTTAATTTATGTCTTATTTTGCATTCAGTTGAAAAAAAATGGCAAATATACAATATAGAAAAGTAAAAGTTCCAATTTCAGAAACAACTTGACCAGAACTAAGATCTATTTATATGTTGGGAATACCAAAAACTATGTTCTTAATAACTTGGCCTCAACAGCTATAGTAAACCACCAGCAGTTTAGAGACACTGCTCTTTACCAGTCAAAAAGATCTACTCACAGAAAAAGGAAAATAAACAGAGTGAAAATATAACTACTAATAATTAAGTCTAAAACTGATTTACAAAATATGTTTGATTTTTTACAATAACGATGTGAAGAAGCACCAAAATGCAATCAGACATTTACATGAGTAAGTGATGCCTGTGCCACAATCTGAGTTTCATTTGTGCTTCTTAAACTATGGATGGCAACCCCACATGAAGTCGTGACCCATAGTTTAAGAAGCACTGAAGGCATTTGGAGTCAGTCAAAGGGCCACACTTGAGGACCTAAAGCACATGTATCCTCGAGGCCGCAGGTTCCCCACCCTTGGCTAAAGCGTAGCAAGTGGAAAAAGTTTAAGAAGCCCTGCTATGGAACAGTCCAAATGATTTTAAAGAATGGCACAGGCCATTAATAATACAATGATACCTGACATTTTACTTTATTTAGGCTATATGGTCTACCTACTTCCAAAAAAGATTTGATATGGATTAAAAAATTAAATAAAATACAAATGAGAACAATAAAAAATAAAAACAAGACAAAACTTGCTAAAAGAAAAAAGTAATAGATGCTATTAGGTACCACATATAAACTTAGTTACTGTAGCTGAAAAATAAATTAAGATTGGAGTTTTCTGGCAACAAAAGTACAAATTGGATAGCAGCAGTTAAGTGTTAGATTCTGGAAGACCTGAGTTCAAATTTGACCTCAGAACTTAATATTTCTGTGACCCCAGATAAATCAACCTCTGCTTACCTCAGCTTCCTCAACAATAAAGTGGGGATAATAATAGCACCTAACAACTAAGGCTGCTGTAAGGATCAAATGAAATAATATTTGTAAAGCACTCAGCACAGTACCTGGCACATAGCGGACACTTAATAAATGCTTGTTTCCTCCTTCTGTCATTGTGATAAAAGAATTTCTCTTCAGTAAGTGAGTTCCCTATTGATAGATAAAAATTGGCTTTACGTAGCAATGAACCCAAAGACACAAATGTATCTTAAGATTTAATGAAAAGATTTAGTCAAATCTCAGTCCAGTGGATGATAACAATGTTAATGTACAAGGTAAAAACAGTATGATCACAGTGTTACAGATTTAGAGTTGGAAAGGAACTCAAGTAATCTAATCAAACTCTCTCATATTATTGATGATGAAACTGAGGTAAAGACAGACTGAGTCAATTCTATAGAAAACTTCCAGGGGGCAGCTAGGTGGCGCAGTGGATAGAGCACCGGCCCTCAAGTCAGGAGGACCTGAGTTCAAATCAAGCCTCAAACCAAACACTTGACACTTACTAGCTGTGTGACCCTGGGCAAGTCACTTAACCCCAATTGCCTAAACAAAAAATAAAGAAAAAAAGAAAAAAGAAAACTTCCCCACTTATCGATGACTCACCTCCTAAATCATCTTCATTCCCCATCACAGGTACCCACAGAAGTTATAGCTTACAAAGAAGCCAATCCACTTAAAAGTTCCTATCTATTGACTATACCATTCTACATTTTCCCCTGAAAACTAAAGCCTCCAGAGAGCAATATCTTTCCCCTCTCCTCCATTTTAAATACCGTCCAAAGGAGTTGCTACATAACTTCCTACCCCTCCTGATCTCCACTGCACACCAAAGCAACACTCCTGTATGCTACCAGAACCCTCATCTACCAAAGTCCCATCCCTATACTTCCAAGGTGTCAGCCCTTATCTGAGCTAAACAAGTATGAGTGGGGAAAGAATGACATATGTCTATATATACATATGTGTGTGTGTGTGTGTGTGTGTGTGTGTGTGTGTGTGTGTGTGTGTGTATATATATATATATATATATATATATATATATATATATACACACATATATATATATTTTTTAAACGTTTATAAAGTGCCTATCTCATAAAACCCAGTGAGGTAGCATGAATACTGCTCTTCCCATTTTATACATAAGGAAACCAAGTACTTATCCAGAACCAAAGAGTTATTACCTTTCAGAGAAAGAACAGAATCTAAGATTTATAGGAGCCACATGATTCCCCTAAGGACAAGATGGCTACTTCTGTGCCCATCAGATCGTCCATCTAACCCAGGAGGCCTTTAACTTGTCTCCAACTAGCAAACTGGCCCTTATCCCTTTTAAATCAACAGCTTTAACATCACAACCCTGTCTGCCAAGGTCAAGTGTCCCACTTCGTAAAAGTCAGGGAAGGGGCCTTACATGTGAGATGTGAAACTCACCACCAAGATTACTGACAAGTTAGCCAAGGGATCCCTTTTCTTCCAGGTAAAGGCACATTCACAAAAAGTTATATGGTTGTAATCCCAAGTTCCTGGACAAAGGTGAGGGAAAGTGCTTATCCAGCTCCTGAGAGACAATGGACAGCTCCTCAACCAAAAGCCTCTAAAGGGAAAGAAACTTGATATTCTTTCCTCAAAAGGGTGCCTGGGGAGGAAGATGTTCTGACTGGGAGGCCAGGGAACATTGAGGTAGGTAGTATAGAGCAAATCAACACTGATACTGGGACTGGCTGCAGGCAAGAAGGTAATGACCTCTTACTACAGATGACTCTAACTCATGATAAAGAACTGTTAATGTGCCAGAGGTGTCATCATCTGTGCTGCTGCCTTGATGTTCCTGGTGTTAATCCTGCACATCATCATTCTTCGTTACTTGGCATCATCTGCTATGTAGACCAGATTATTAAGATATGAGTCAAGATCCTTCTGATGTAGGGAAGCCATGGATTTCTTATCTTCAGACATTTAGATTAAGCTAATTCTTTTTCCTAAAAAGCAAGGAAGTTGTCCCTAAGACCTGACTGGCGCATGAAGGTAACACTCCAAACTATCTGTTGTTGCAGTTTCCTGGTAGGCTCAGGCCACACTTATATGGTTTCCTGTTCACCTAAGGGCATAAATACCTACATTCAGACTTAGTGGATGTCCAAAGGCAACACAGGTCATTGCTCCTGCCCTGCTGACCAGAAGCATTTCCGTAGCATGGTGAGGAAGACCATTTACATCTAAGCTGAATGGTGTATCTTTGTTAAATATCCTTTCTATGCTACAGCTAATGACCTGTGAGTATTTCACTTATTCCAACATTGGACCTACATTACCAAGGGACACCACAGTAAGCCCCAGCCCACCACAACATAGTTTCCAGTGCTGCCCTCTTAACCTCTTTCACCTAAATGTGCTCCAGAAGACACCAATCTAATTTGGCTAAAACTTGAAAGTATACAGAGAGGAGTATTGAGTTTTCATAGAAACAAATGTTATGGCTAATTGATCAACAAGCATTTTAAAACACCTGCTATGTACCAGGCTTTGTGCGAGGCACTGAGGATACAAAAACAAAAATGAAATACTCGCTGTTCTCAGGGAGCTTAAATTCTAGCAGGAGAACATGTAAATCTATAATCATGTAAATACACACACACACACAGTAAAACAAGGAGACATTTTTGGGTGGGGAAAATGGTAATGAAGACATATAGCTGGGAGGATCAGAAAAGAATTCATGTAAGAAGTGGCATTTGAGATGAGTTTTGAAAGAGGCTAGACATTCTAAGAAGTGGAGATAAGGAGAGTTTGCATTTGAGGCACTGCCATGACTTGCAAAGCACAGAGGCAGGATATGAAATGTAATGCTTATTGCAATTTATGTTGCTTGTTTTTCGCTCTTATTATATATTTTAGGACAGGTTGAGAGATGTCTTGGAAGAATTAGAACTTTAAAAGAAGAAAACAGTGCTTTGGGAGAGGTATTCCCCAAAAAACAAACAGAGAAATAAAAAATCCAGCTTACCTCACTGAAGTAAACAAAGAATAAAGAAAAGTTTAAGGGTACTTAGGTTGGGAGTGAAAAAGACAGGTTTATAGCTAAGGCTGAAAAGTTTCTTATGTAGATATTATAAAAAAGGTTTTAAAGAATAAGATTTCATTCACATAATAATTCTGGATTATTTAAGATTATTTTGGAATTTTCAAAAAAGAGCACTTACTTGTTGTGTTGAAAGATTTCTAATGCCAATTTTGCTTCAACATCCAAAGTTTCAAACAGAAGATCTCTACTAATTAAAGCATGAGCATCCTTTGTGAAAGAACACAGGTGTTCCTTTAAAATTAAAGTAGTAACATTCAGTAATATTTCACAACACAAGATTTCAAAATTATCACATGAAATCACTCTACATTATTCTAACATATATATTCTATATGCACAGACAATTCCTGGGAGTACTATATTTCTATGCTCTACAAATCTTGTAAGATAAAAACAAATCACTTGGACTGGTTGATGAGAAAACCATTATGAATTAATGAGAAGTTAGAATTGTAGAATATTTATAAAGAATATAAATGTAATTATGATCTTGTATACACATGTAACAAAATTAACCCATATTAATCCTTAAGGAACTCATCTTAGTAGCTAATAATTTCTAATTATTCTGTTAGAGAAGTGAATGCTTCTAAATCATAAGAAAAAATTTTTGCTCTTAATTCTTCCAATCATTCTTCCAATAGTCTTATTTATAGTATCTGTGCCATTTAGAAAGATTTCATAAAAAATACAACTCAACACAGTCCTAGCATGAATTACAGAAAAATCTCATTTTTAAAATGGCTTTCTGTTGGTTTTATAAAATGGAAGTGGATGGAGGCAGCTAGGTGGCGCAGTGGATAGAGCACTGGCCCTGAAGTCAGGAGGACCTGAGTTCAAATCAAGCCTCAGACCAAACACTTGACACTTACTAGCTGTGTGACCCTGGGCAAGTCACTTAACCCCAATTGCCTAAAAAAAAAAAATGGAAGTGGATGACTGATAAAGATTCTAACATGTGAATGTCACTGATGAAAATCTGAACTGACTTTTTGTGTATCCTAATTCATTAATAAAGGGAAAAGGAAAGAATATTATCACATCTAATGTACTTTTATTAAATGATTTTTCCCATAAAAATATTTCATTTTCAAAAATATGAAAAATTGAGAAAACTTTGTTACATAGCATATCTTATACCTGCCATGAACTTTAAAAAACACACATCTAGGTACCTTTTTTTGTTCTCATGTGAAGAAGTTGTGGTAAAAGGTCAAATAGAGCCATCCTACCATCTCAGCCTTGTACATGTAAGCAACATTTGGTGGGGAAAAAAGCCACAAGAAAAACAGAATACAGGACAACATATCAGAGACACATTTACACATGAAGTTGACCAATATGCATCTACTAAAGCCAAAGCAGAGCATATTAGCCTGGAATATGTTATTCTCGGATTTATCAACTTTACATCATAAGATTTTGATAATATGTTAGCAAGCTGCTCTTCAAACGATTGGCCAAAATCAGGTTTCCAGTGATGACTTGTCTTTCTTGATTGCAGGTGGAGTTAATATTCTTAGTAGTTTGGCTTGTACACAAGTCACAAGATGTAAATTAGACATTTCTCTTGAGTTCCCAGTAGGCATGTTGCATGTTATTACTTGGAATGCTTGGCCTCTGGAAGTCTGTGTTATTGAGAATGTCTTCCTAAGACTCATCTTTGTGTTTAGATTTTTGCAGTTCTGTTCTCAGACTACTACATTCCTTTCTCATCAGTCCCAGCTCCTATTCCAAACCACAGATTTTCAGGTAACTGCTCAACTTTTCTACCTCCCAGTTGCATGAAGGTTACTTTAGATTCCTCATCACTTACTGAGTCTCAGCCTCAGTCCTAACTAGAAATGTTCTTCTTTAGACTGTAGCTGTTCACTTAATACCTTCCAAGACTCAGAACTGTCTTTATTGATTTTATCCAATTTGCTTTTTCTCATCCCACTGAGCTTGTATCTTTATCTAAACAGGTTTCAAGAAGATTTTCTTCTAAAAATCTTATTCTTTTCCTTAAGAAGGAATTCTTCTCTGAATCCTTTAGGCTCTTTTTGACGTCCTTATATGTAGTTACAACGGCAAAGTGTGAAGCCACTGGTTGAACTCCTGCATAGACTGACACAGGAGCCTCTTCATGGTTCAGAATACAGATATTATCTTCTACTAGTACATCCATGATGGCACCTTGTCAGCACTTTTGGTTTCCCCAATGTGCTGAATGAAGCAAGAACACACAGTATTAGCAGAATCACGGCAGGCTTCCGGCCTCCGCTGACATAGGCCAGGCGTTGGGGGTCCCTGTGCCCATGCTGCTTGGACCCCTTCCCTGGCCCCTGGTGGCATGGACTAAACAACGTTTTAAAATAAAACCTTTAGCTATTTTGCTTTTCTGTGGAAATCTATTTTTATTTAATACATCAATAAGATGGCTGTTTTTATTTAACAGATCATCAAGACAGTATCATAATTACAGATTAGTGGAAACTTCCAAAGAATGTGCTGCATTCGTTACCCTACCTTACAAAAATGATGGCTACATTTCTTAAAATAAATTAAAGATGGAAAGATTCAGGTAAATAATTTTATGCAGACAGCTTCTTACAAATTCTTAGAAATGTTAGACTGAAAATGACTTGGTTTTTTATCTAATTCTGATTTAGTAAGACCAATAGAATGAGAACTTAATCATAATAAATGGAATATGCTTGGCATCTCTCCCATCAAATATGGACTTAGAAGGAAGATAGTATGGCTGGCAAGAGTTTAAGGATATGGAAAGGGTTGAGTCATAGAATGACAAAGTTAATTCTTTCCTTCAAGAAGGATTAGAAGCTCGTGGTGCAGAAACGGCATAGGGATCAAACAACTGATCAGAAGAAGATTGCAGGAGTCTCTTTGCTGGCAGTGGAGGTCAGGACTATGTTGCTTTGCACACATTCAAAAATTCAGCTCACAGTCCAAGGTCACACGGCTCAGGGGAACACCACACCACCAGAGCTTGCAGCCACTGTGGATTAGGGACCCTCCTCATAGTTCTAAGGCAGAAAAGAGTGCTTGTGGTCACTCATGGATCAGAGCACAAGCCAGGAGAGTAGTAAACACACCTCTCCACAGATCATATTACCTTAGAACAACTGAAAACTTAGAGAAACTAGAAACCTAGAAGTATCTCTGAAAACAGGTGCACAAAAGCTCTAAATCTTGGGACAGCATGACCGCTACCCAGAAAGCAGAGCCCCACTTTAGTAAAGAGTTAAAAGTCAAGAAATAGGCTGGAAAAATGAACAAATAACAGAAAAAATCTGACTATAAAAAATTACTATGGTGACAAGGAAAATCATAATACACACTCAGAAAAAGAAACAAAGTCAAAACTCCTAAATCAAAGTCTCAAAGAAATATATGAATTGGCCCCAGGCCATGGAAGAGCTCAAAAAGTACTTAAAAAATAAAGTAGGAGCTATTTCCCTTCTTCCAAGATGATAGACAAAAAAACCCCCAAAAGAACCAAAGGAAAAGAAGGTCAGAGAGGAAAAAAAGGAGAACAAAAAGGAAGATTTGGCTAAAAAGGTGATAAAAAAGCCTCAAAGGCACTGCAGTTGGAACCCAGTCCTGGCCCAAGGAATCAGTAGATACTAGAGGTCTGCAGTGTACTCCCGGCAAGTTATGCACAAGGGGAAATACGCTTCGCTAAAAACCCAAATTGAAAGGGAAAAGAGAAGGTGCCTGCTACTATCTCAAAGCCAGTTGGTGGTGATAAGAATGGAAGAACCCATATGGTAAAGATTCACAAGATGCTCAGGTATTACCCTACTAAGGATATGCCTAGAAAGCTGCTAAGTCATGGCAAAAAGCCCTTCAGCCAGCATGTGAGGAGACTTCAAGCTAGCATCACCCTAGGCACAGTTCTGATCATGCTCACTGGGCACCACAGGTGCAAGACAGTGATTTTCCTGAAGCAGCTGGCAGTAGCTTGCTACTGGTGACTGGACCTCTGACCATCAACCATGTTCTTCTGAGAAGGACCCATCAGAAATCTGTCATTGCCACCTCTACCAGGGTTAACCTTTCGGGTGTACACTGTACACAGTAACAGCAATACTGTATGATGATCAACTGTGAAAGATTTAGCTATTCTTGGCAATACAATGATCCAAGATAATTCCAAAGGACATATGATGAAAAATGTGATCTATCTCCATAGAAAGAACTGATGGAGTCTGAATGCAGGTCAAAGCATACTTTTTCTTTGCTTTCTTAATTTTTTGGGGGGGAGGGAGGGGGTGTCTGTGTTGTTTTTTTCACAACACGACTAAAATGGAAATATGTTTTGCATGATTGCACATGTATACCCTATATCAAATCACTTGTCTTCTCAACTGCAGGGGACAGAGCAGAGAGAGAGAGATAATCTGGAACTCAAAATGTAAAAAAAAAAGAATGTTAAAATTGTTTTTGCATGTAGTTGGGAGAAAAAATAAAATATTAAATCATTTTTAAAAAAACTATTGAAGGGATATTGAACAGAATGAGATAAAATAATAACAATTTATTTTTGGAAAAATAAAAAAATCTAGACTATCATGACAAATTATGAAAAGAGGAAAGGAAAAAGGTCTGGTATGGGTTAAAAACATAAAGGCAAATCAATAGAATAGATTAGACAAGAAAGAATATAAAAACAACAAAACTCAATAATCCAGTGCTTAAATAAACCAAAAAATTAAAAATGACTTAGGAAAGAATTCACTTTTTGATAAAAATTGTAGGGAAAACTGAAAGTAAACTGGCAGAAATTAGGTTTAGATCAATATCTTGCACTATATGCTATGATACATTCTAAATGGAAACACAAACTTAACATTAAAGGCAAGATTATCAAAAAATTAGGAAAGGGGGCAGCTAGGTGGCACAACGGATAGAACACCAGTCCTGAAGTCAGGAGGATCTGAGTTCAAATCTGGCCTCAGACCAAACACTTGACACATACTAGCTGTGTGACCCTGGGCAAGTCACTTAACCCCAATTACCTAAAAATAAAAAAATTAAACTAAATTTTTAAAAAATTAGAAGAGAAGCAGATTATATGCTGCTCAAAGCTACAGACAGAAGGTTTTGTTTTTTTATTTTAAACTACACAAGGTTTAGAGGCAATTACAAAAGATAATAGGTAACTTGAATTACATGAAACTAAAAAGCTTCTGCACAGAAAAAAAAAGCATATGAGAAAAGGGAAGTGGATTAATGGGAAAAGAAAACTGTGCACCAAATTTCTCTGGCAAGAATTTGTTATCCAAAATATATAAAACACATATATACATACATATACGTTTATATATACACACAAATCTATATGTACATAGATCAACAATATATGCAATTCTATGCAAATGATAAAATGCAAAGAACAAGATACATGTGTGTGTACATGTGTATGTGAATCCCCAAATTTGTTCAAAGGATATAAACAAACATAGCTCAAAGAATTACTCAAAACTATTAACAACCATGTGAAAGAGTGCCCCAAACTAAGCTACTAACAATATATTTTTAACTACTATCAGATGGTTTTGATAGCAAACATAACAAGATAGGAATAGTCAAAGTTTAAAAAATTGTTGAAAGATGGACACACTGGTAAATCACTGGTGGTGCTGTGAATCAGCATAATCATTTTGGAAAGCAACTTGAAATTAGGCAAATAGTGACTAAAAATTTGACCCAGAGATTCTATTACTAGGCTTATACCTCGAAGAGGTTATTGATAAGAAAATCATACATATGTATATGTGTGTGTGTGTGTGTGTATACACACACACACACATATACATATACATATACATACATAGAAAGCTATATTTCCATATAGATATTTATATCTTCATATCTCTCAACATATCTATATATAGCCACACACCCACACACTCACAAACTGATGCAAAATAAAGTACAGCCAAGAAAACAATATCACAATAACTACAAAAACATAAATGGAAATAACCACAAAAAAAAACCCATCAAAAGTAAATGACACAAAATTATAAAGAACAGGTAGAGCTCAAGAAAAGAGATATGAAAAAACACTCCCATCCCACCCCTTTGCAGAGGTAGGAGGTCTATAAGGATTATATATTCCACACATGTTAAGACTTTTTATGTATTACTCAGTTATGTTCATTTTCCCTCTTTTAAAAATATGTGCTATATGGGATTGCTCTTCTGGAGAAGGAAGAAGTAGGAATACCAGGGAAAACTATGGTGATAAAAAAAAAGACATTAATAAAAACATATTGTAAAATATATTTTTAAAAAATTTTCATTTTACAAGTCAAAAATGAGAAGTACTCTGATATTCTTAAAAAATAGTCAAACTTTAATTTCTGAAGCAAGTTTTTTTTCCTAAGTTCAAAGTTATTTTCTTTTTTTCCCTACTGTATCGGTCGATATCTGGCCTACTTGGAGCTCCTTACATTCAAGCTCTCCTGAGACAGCTCCTGCCTCCAGCCCTTTCTCTAGCTATCTCTCATGGCTGGAATACTCTCCCTCCTCATCTCTGCCTCTCAGTTTCTCAGACTTCCTTCAAGATTCAACTCAAATGCCACTTTCTGCAGGAGCCCCTTCCCAGTGCCCCAGCTAGTAATGCCTTCCCCTCTGAAACTGCTTTCCATCTGCTCTGTATAGATCTTATATGCATAGTTATTTTCATGCTGTCTCTTTTATTAGGTTATGAGATCTATGAGGTCAAGGACTCTTCTTGCCTTTTTACTCTCTGTACTTCTTAGGCCAATACCCATTAGTAAACGCTTAACAAATGCTTGTTAACTACCTGACTGACCTATTACCAGGTTTCATTTATTGGCCCCAGGATATACAGTGGGGTAGAAAATAATGAGTTCATTTTAAAACATATGTAATTTATATGCATTCCTATACCAAATGGATAACAACTCAGTCTATCCACCATAATATACTGAAAAGTAACGTGGTAGCTGAGCTTAAGCACACTCCTTCACTTCCATATAATGTAGTTATAAATTCTGTTTTCAATCAACAAGCATGTATTGAGTCTACTATGTGCTAAGCACTGTGAATACAGAGTTTAAAACTGAAATTAAAGACTTCAAAAAATTGAAAAATGAAGCATTTTCTGCCTTCAAGAAATTTATATTTAATGTGGAAGGTGCATATTAAAATATGAAGTACCACTTCAGCTGAAAAAAGTTTTATCTGGTTATCTTCCTTTACCCTGATATATGAGAGAGAATACACATTGCACACACATTGAAGCATGTCTATTACTGATCATTAAAATAAAACTGAATGCCTGAAATATTCACCTAAGAAACAAGGTAATTTAAAGAGCTCACATCATTGACATTGCTATCTTATATTCCACATTAATTTCCTTATACCATAGGCAATGCTTTCTAAATTTTTTTTAGCATGAAAAAACAAACATGTTCAACGATTGTCAGAAACTGCTTTCCACTTCCTCTTCGCAACCCCCACACTCTAGCTATATGACATCACTTGAAGGTTTGATACAGTCAACATTTGCTGACTCAGTCTCAGGTAGGAAACACATAAGCACAACCGGGCTCAGATAATGGCTGGTTTGATTATCAAGCATCATTCTTGTCTCTAGTTACCTAGATTCCCCCTCCTTGACGCCAGTATCTACTGCCTGACTTTTCAAATTTTAAACCCACCTCCCTGGCCTGGAATGCTTCCTCCTCCCTCCCTTACCTCACCTCTTCCTCTTGAAGCTCATCCCTTGGCCACTTTCATGACCTGCTTGTTTTCCCCTAATGAACCTTTTGAATGTGAATTCTAGGCTGCCTGGCTAATGTTATCTGCCAGCTCACCTTCAGACTACCTAAAACAGATAATAACTCAGGTCCTTTCCAGCTCACTGTATAATTCTGTGATCTGCTTAAAACTGACTTTTCTCCCAATATATATCACTCTTCTTTCAGGCTCAGCTACATCAAATTGCTGCCCAAGTCTTGGTATAATATGAGCATCAAATTATGGAGACTGCGGAGTGGCTTGGGGGAAAAGGCAACTATGCTAATAGCCCAGGTCTTCCAATTCCAAATCTGGTCTCAAAGAGGCAACTCCTCTGACTAGTCTGGGTTCACCTGGGATAAGGTTAGCACTGAATATCACTCAGGGAATAGAAACAAGACTCCTGTGGTAAAGGGTCACTAAAAATGTGAGTTTATGGAATCATAAGACAAAATTAGGAGAGGGAGAGTCCTTTAAGTCAATCAGATCATTTCTGTGATACAGAAATTGATCCAGAAAGGGAAAGTGACTTGCCTATGGCCACACAGCTAGCTGCTAAAATCCCTCTTACACATTTACTATCACAAATTCTCCATACCTACACGTATTTAAAACATACATTGTATATTTTAAACTTTTCAGAATGAACTGTTAAAAATACCATCAAACTTCCCAATACTAATTTCTAGAAAGTCATCCTAGGTGACAAAATAGTTCCAAAAAAGAATTCTTCTCAAAGTAAAAGGCACTTACAGGTGTTGGAATCCATTCATCAAGTCTTTTGTCCAAAATGACATCATAACAGAAGGCTCCAGCAACCACTACAAATCCAAGCAAAATTAAAATAAATGTTAACTTCGGTAAGAAAAAAATTTCAGTCTGAAACAGATGTATATTTCAGTCTAAAAAATATAATTAGCAATCTCTCCTAAATCTAAAAATCAAAAGAACTGTCACAATCATCATAACCAATGCTAATTTCAATAGGCCTCTTGACTTAAAAGGAAGCACTATGTACCAAGTCATCCTCACAAGACTTAATTTCCCTTTCATCCCCTGCAAATCATCAATACATTTGCATATATCCCTAAAGTAATACTTCAAAGCCTCATCATAATGTGGAGGTAATCTTGAGCTCTTGAAAGCATACAAGCTCTTTAACATTCTATCAGTATAGAAAGGTTATAAAAGTATAGATTTTGTGACTATCAGTCTGTCTTCTAAGGGCCCACCTAGCTAAACTGAAAAGGCTCATCCCAGGCTGGCCACAGGTGATAACTTTTCAGCTAAACTCTCAGAGTATTTATTATCTGTATAAACAGGGAGAGTAGATAACTGTGTAGATAACACAGATGAAATAATAGATTGAAACAATATTGTACACATATTCAGAAAGTTACAGTACTATGCAAGTATACTCTAATGTTGATTTTAAAAGTGCAAGGACTTACAAATGCATCACTTCATGAGATTTCCTTCATATAAATAATGTACTGGGTAACATAGCATAATATATATAACCTTGAAGTCAGGAAGAACTGGAGTTTCAGTCCTATCTGACTTATACTTCTGTGGCCACAATTAACATCTTTAAACCTCACCATGCTAAGCAATTTTTGAAGAGAATAAGTTAAAATTAAGTATCTGCATAACTGAAGGCTTTTCTAATGTAGCTAGCTATTCCCTACATATATAAAACAGCATGTGCAGACTAAAAACAGGGGGAAAAATGGGTTGACTCTATCAAGAAAGTAATACTAATAGAGGCTGTCAGTCATGACAGTCAAAAAAAATCTCATGTAAAACAGAATATTACAAATAATTTTTATATAGTTACTATAGTAAATTGGTTTAGGACAATGACTGTTAGTCCTCTGAAATCTAATCTTAGTTTACAGAGATTCTAGGGAATAAACATCTTCACCACCAAGTAACTTAGTCAAAGTTGCAGATAAAGGAAATGTGCTCTCCCACTGAGACTCCACAGAAAAACTGGTATCTTTGGTTTTGACACTCTTAAATTTCAGACGGTTATTTCTAGGGAAGCACAACAAATACACCCTGTACTTCCCTACATGCCTTCGTATGACCTCATTTCCTCCATTCCTATGCCCAGTGAACACATCATAAATTTATTGTTCTTGGCCAAGGCAGAACTGTTTTCATTGACTATACATGTTTGCAACAGGAGTTTTGTTTTTCTTGCTTTCTCAATGGGGGTGAGATATGGGAGTCAGAAAATAAGGACCTGAAATAAAATAGAATCTTAAAAGTCTGCTGTTTTCAGTTTCTATCCATTTTAAATCCTATGAATTTCAGTCTCTTGAAACATTATCTTCTACCTACTTTTTCATGTTTACTTATTGACATTTGAAGATTATTTTACATCCCATGTTGATGAATGTACTCATAGATTTATTAATAGAAGAAATGTACATAAGTTTAAATTAAAGCTTGTAAAAACACTTTACCTGCTTTATTTCACTTGATTCTCACAACTATCCTGTGAAGCAAGAACTACCTATATTACCCCAAGAAAAGGAAACTGAGGCTCACAGAAGTTAAGTGCTCTGTCCAAGGTAGCATAGCCATTGTCAAAAATGGGATCTCCACCTAAGGCTCTCTGATCCCCATCCATTACTCTTTCTACTATTATACCATGCTGTCATTCACAGTGACCGAACACTCCACATCCCTGGAAACAGGCATCCAAATACTACATAATTTTTCACAACTCTAATTTAGTTATTAGAATGTTTATATTACCTGGAATTTCTGGAACTCTGACTAAAGTAACTGTGTATTCATCTTTGAACGCCCTTTCTATCACACACCCCATCATCATGGCACAGGAACGCCAATAGGCCTAAAATAGAGTAAATAAGTATTACAATAAATTAGTTCAATATCAAGTCAAGCCAACAAGTCTTTATGTTAAGCATCTGCTGTGTTCCAGGTACCGTGCTAGGCAGTAGGGATATAAAGGCAAAATATCGTCTACTTTCAAGGAGTTCACAGTACAACAGGGGAAACAACACACAAACAAGTATATACATACAAGACAGGCTAAATTGGAGAAAATTAATAGAGAGGGATGGAACTAGCATTAAGGGAGATTAGGAAAGGTTTCTTGAAGGAAACCAGGGAAGCTAGGAGGCAGAGATGAGGAGAGAAATCCAGACAGGGGAACAACCAGTGAAAATTTACAGTTGAAAAATGAAGTATCTTATTCAAGAAATAGCAAGAAGGCCAGCATCACTGGAACACAATACACAGAGGAAAGTATGGTATAAAAAGACTGGGAAGCAAAGAGATCATAGAAATGGGAAAAGGCCCCACATGTACAAAAATATTCATAGCAGCTCTCTTTGTGGTGGCAGAGAACTGGAAATTGAGAGGATGCCCATCAAGTGGGGAATGGCTGAGCAAGTTGTGGTATATGAACGTAATGGAATACTATTGTGCTATAAGAAATGATGAACAGGTTGACTTCAGAAAAACCTGGAAAGACTTGTATGGCCTGACGCTGAGTGAAATGAGCAGAACCAAAAGAACGTTGAACACAATAACAACCACGTTGTGCGATGACTAATACTGATAAACTTAACCCTTTCCACCAATACAAGGATCTAAGACATCTCCAGAGGCCTCGTGATGGAAAATACTAACCAAATCCGTAGAAAGAACTATGGAAGTTGAATTGCTATTTTTTTTCCTCTTCTGTTGAGTTTTGTTTCCTCTTTCTGATGGTTCCTCCTATTGGTTTTAATTTTTACTTACATCACTAATATGAAAATATGTTTAATAGGAACGTAAATGTATAGCCTATATCAGATTGTGCGCCGTCTTGGGGAGGGTGGTGGGGAGGAAGGGGGAGAAAAATTTTAAGCTCAAAGGCATATGAAAGTGATTGTTGACAAATCAAAATAAATTAATTAAAAAAAAGACTGGGAAGGTTGGAAAGGGCTAGATTATGAAGGGACTTAAGCACTGAAGAATTGTATAACGTCAGAGAAATTGTACAATATTAAAATCCAGGTCAGCATTCATTTAGGAAAAATCTCTCAAATATTTGTCAGTTTCTACCATGTAACAATAGCAGGGGAGGGGAGGGAGAATGGAGAGATGAGAAGGAAAGAATCTGAAACTGAAAATAAAATAAAACTGAATTAAAAAAACAAAGATGGCTTCCCAGTTTTCCCTTTTTGTACAGGAAAAATCTCATCTCTTGATTTGTGTTCCCTCATTTTCAGTAGTTCTAGATGGTGATTGGTGGGAAGCAAGGTTTATCTATTATTTCTACTTCTAGATCCATGGCTTGAAATCTTTAAGTGCAATACCTGGCTGAGGAGAATAAGACCACGAGACTGCAATATTCCTTCATATCCTCAAGGTTGGCTAACAAAGGGGATATGGAGTGCCTTATCAATGATGTCAAGTGTAATGGGACAGTATGAGCCCAGATGGAAACTTACCCATAAAGTCATTATTAGAAGAAGGGGAGATCTCTTTGGGAAGTTTTTATGGTGAAAGTAAAAGCAAGTGACATTAACACTTTACATGTCAAGTGAGGTTATTCCCTCAAATGAGGACTCAAAGACCATATAAAAATACTTATAGCTTTTCTTCCTTTGAGTGAAATGCTAGAAGATTCAATAGATGAATAACTTACAACACGTAAAGATCCTAATAAGGTTTTATTTATTACTACAGCTATAGTTAAATGTAGAGGTGTACTGAAGTCAGTTCAGTACTGGTTTTCAAGAGCTGACTGTTAAATTTTCAGTGTCAGCATTTATACTTCAGAAATCAGCAAATGCTACAAATCAGAGCTTGATTTATTGTTTTGTTTAATTTGTAGGCTTAAGAAAATGATAGAGAAGACATTAATAATACAGATTGAACTTACAAGTATGCCATGAGTACATTTTCTTTTCAGAGAGACAGTTGTTAAACATTTTAGCAGCATACCACTTTATAAATGTATATATGCATGTATAGATTCTGTAAGTTACAAACTTCTAAAAACAAAAATTATATCTGTATACAATAAGAAAGGCATATAAAACAAGAAAGAACCAACACAATAGCAGTTACAAGTTTTGTTGGTCCTACCACAAAAAAAAAAACTACCAACCATTCTGTTATCAGTCACTCATTTTAACTCTAAGATAAGATGACCTACCTAATGAGATGTTCTAAGGAGCTGATGAGTGAAAAAAATAAATATGGTTTTCCGCAGAAGACTGTAAACTCTTTGGGGGCAAGAACTATTTTCATTTTTCTATCCTTAATGCCCAATATAACTCCTGGAATATAGTGGGTACTTACAGAATTAAAGTGATTTTTATAAATGTATAGCCTGGCTTATTTTAAGAACAAATAAATATTACCACCATAAATAAAAGTTGGACATGAGTAAAATTTCCTTCCTAATAAGAAAATTCTAAGTTACTTCCAAACAATCCTTAGCACAATACAACTGATTCCCTCAATTTAGAGCAAAGCCATTCCACAAATTGCTTTCATTTTAGTATAACATTCTTCTTCACAGATATGCCTCTAATCAGTTTTCCCCAAGTTCAAGCATTACAAAGAGAATAACAAGTAGTCAAATGTCATTTTGCTTTTAGACCTCCTAATTTATAATACAGAATATTTAATATCATATTGAACACATAAATATAAGAAAATATAAACATGTAATAATAATTTAAAAATGACATATCATATTTTTATCTTTATATCACTATACCAAATGGACCCTACATTCTTTCAAATCTGAATTTACACCTTAAGCCACTATCCTTTGGGGGCAGTAGTGTTCATTCTGAAAACAGATTTCATTTTTCTCTGGATGTCCCATTCCTATCTCAAATTCAGTATCTCTTCAAAAGAGATAATCATGCTTTACCCTAAATCTGCTCCTTCTTTTGACTTCACTATTCAGTCTGTGGCACAACTACTGACCCTGTCTCCCCCATTCATAAAGTTAATCTTACCCTTTCCTCTCCCTCACCTATCACCAACATCCAATTACCCTAGCCTGTCATTTTCACCTCCACACCATCTCCCGCATTTTCACTGCCACCGCATTAGAGTAGGTCTACATTACCATCTACCTAAAGTACTGTAATAATCTGCCATTGTTGTTGAACTCTAAATAGGCCTTGCCACCTCTACTCCATCCTTCACAATGTTGCCAGAATGATTTTTCTTACAGTTAGATCTGGTCATTCCACTGAATAAAGTATAGCCTCTTTTGCCCGGCACTGAAGGCCCTCCACAATCTGACACCAATTTGCCTTTCCAGCCTTGTATCTTCCTATATTTCCTATATATTTATATTCAAGTATATCTACATATACAAATACAGGAGACAGAAATGAGAAGGCACAAGCAGCTAAGGATCCCAGGCAGAGTCTGAAGGTAGGACTTAAGTTGTATCTCCAGGGAAACCAAGAGGCAGAAGTGAAGAAAAGTATTCTAGGCATGGGATACGATCAATACCAAGGCATGGAGATGGGTGCTGGAGCATCATGTGTGAGAAAAGAAAATAAATAAGTATGGCAGGACAATAAAGTACATAGAGGGAAGTAATATGTAAGAAGATTAGGAAGACGGAAAGAGTTCCAAGTACCAGAGCAGTATAAATTGATTCTAAAGGTAGAACCACAAGAGTTTTACAGTAGGAAGGTAACATGGGTCAAACCTGAACTTCAAGAAAATTACTTTGGAAGTTCATGGAGAAAAGAGAGACTTGAAGCAAGGAAACTAATTGTTCAGTTGGTTGGTCATTTTTCAGCTGTGTGACCTGATTTGGGGTTTTCTTGGCAAAGATACTGAAGTGGTTTGCCATTTCCTTCTCCACCTCATTTTCCCGATAAGGAAACTGAGGCAAATAGGGTTCAGTAACTTGCCTACGTCAAACAGGTAGTGTATGAGGCCAGATTTGAACTCAGGAAGATGAGTTTTCCTGACCCCAGGCCCTGTGCCCTACCTATCCAGCTGCCCTAAATCCCACCTTTGCTACTGGGTACATCTAGAATGTCCCTCTTTCCCCTCTTGTTAAATTCCTACCCAACTCAAATACTACCTTTGTAGGTAACAACATTCTTGAGCCCTTTCACACATCATTTTGTTTTGCAAGTCTCTAATGCAATTACCATCTAAATAAATTCTTGTCTACATCTGTCTTATCCCTCAATTGGATATCCATAAATATCAAGGCTTATCTGAACTTCATCTTTGCCCTGGTACCTAGCATAGTGCTCTGCACACACCATTTAATATTTGCTGAAGTGAAGTAAAATATCAAATGGGGTCTATATAACTCATCAGGGCACCAAGACCTGGCCAAAGATAATATGCAAACAAAACGAAGTCCTGCTATCACATTTTAAAGAATGTCTTTAATGTATCTCATTCTCCTATCCATGTGGAAACTGGTATTATGAACATTTTACTCACTGATGAAAAACCTACTATAATAAAATCTTATAGGTCTCTGACCAAATTTGTGCATTACACAAGTCCAGACCCTTATAACTTCTGACCCAGACTATTACAACCATCACTTGACCAGTTCCACTGCCTCTTATTACCTCCCTTTTCTACACACAAGAGTCTTTCAAACAGTTGCCAAACTAATCTCCCTAGGGAATAAGTCAGTGCTTAATAAATTAGTAAGCATCTACTATGTAGGTACTATGTAGGTGAGAGAGGCAGCCTGGAGTAATGGATGGAAATGGATAGGCTCTGAGAGAAGAAAACTTTGGTTCAAATTTTACCTCTGACACATGCTGTGTGTGACCCTAGGCAAATTATTTAACCTATCAACACCCCAGACAACTAAGACTGTAAATTGCAGATCAGTTAATGAACTGCATAGAGAATTTCCTACACTAACGAAATCAGAGATCTAGGGGGAAAAAACTTGGAAGAAATTGCTAGGTATTAACAACTGGAGCTAGGGGATTAAGGAAACAACCTTGTCTAGGAGATGGCACCTGAGTTGTGTCCTGAAGGAAAATAAGGATTCCCAGAGATGGAGGTGAGAAGGCTGAACATTTCAGATATGGGGAATACAAATGTACTGAGTCAGAAGATGGAGCGCCACATACAGTAAACAGGTTTGACCATGTAACACTAATGCTCAAAAACTTGAAATGGTTTTCTATTACTTATAGGATGGAATAAAATCTGCTCCTTAACCTATTCAAGTCAAGAAATCAATAAGCATTTACTAAGTGTAATTAGGACCCTCCACAACTGGCTTCAACCCCCCTTTCCAGACATATTCTACATTAATCCCCTTCACAAATTTATGTTCTGATAGGACTACTACCTATTCCCTCCAATTCAATCTGCCATCTCCAGGCATTAGTGTAGTTCACTCTTCTTACCTAGATTATACTCCTTCATCTTTGCTTTTCCAAATAATTTTTTAAATATTAAACTCAGGTGTCACATCTACAAATTCTCCCGGACTCCCTTCACCTGAATGTAATCTTTCTCCTCAAATTTTCCTATGATTGCTCCTTTTTCCTTTTCATATACCAGCTCATATTGTCCAGGTAGCTATGCAGATGCCACATCCCCACAGTTAAGACTACAAACTATTTGAGTACAGATTCCATAATTTTTCATCTTTGTACCCAAAGTGCCTTGCATATAGAAGGCACTAATTAAACATTTGTTGAATTGCTGTTGTTGGTCAATTTCATAGATAAACTAGGCTTAATGAAAAAGAAAACACTGAATTCAGAAATAACACTACCTTGTTCACTTCCTCAGGATCTTCATCTTTAAAAGTGAGAAACTTAATTTCACATGACTTGGTCAGAGGTTTATTCATGTCCCAGGGCTGCCCATCCACAAGAGCCAAAATGGATTTCTTGCAATACCATTCACTTAAATCTAAAGAGTTAAATTAAACACACAATAGATCTAAGCCCAACAAAAATTACAGAAAAGATTTACATTTTAAAATGTTATATTACTAGGCATATTAGTGATCTTTTAAAAAGTCAGTACATTCCAAAACACAGCAGTCCATTACTAAAATCAATATACTTAAAGTATTCCTTGTCACACACAAAATTAAATGGGCCATTTACAATATCATACCTACCTTGTGTAGATTAAATGACTCACAAAAAGCAAAATAAGAATGGCATTGGGCCATAACAGAAAATATGCTCCCTCCAAAATAAATAAAATATTAGTAATATCGAGAAATTAGTTTTTATCTCCTAGAAGTTTTCCAAGGGCTAGATCTACATATAAAGTTAGGAAAAACACAAGTAATTATAGGCACAGAATTCAGGATTATATTTCTCATACAAATGAAGCTTGTTACAAAAGAAATGTGGCAATAGAGCCTGGGGGATTAATCAAATCCACCACCAGTACTAGAAAAACAAAAAAAGTTATTCTTACACTAGTTGGTAACATTGTCATCACATGTGAAGGACAGTGCTACAGTATAACTCTTACTACTTCAAATGTCAAGGCAATAGAAGAGTATGACAATATGCCCCAACATAAACTAATGACTAGATTATCAAATACTAACCTTATCAGTGGTGCTCTGAATTTTCTGGAAAGGAAAAAAAATGCAACTAGCCATAAGATTGGGTAATCAGTATACATACTCTTGTTTAAATTAATCTCTATCCTCATGTTTTCAGGATTAAAATATTTCATTATCACTACCTGTAAAGATACAGCACACATACTGATCCATAGTTGGTAAATTTTACTCTTGCTATTGCCATCAAGACTATGGACTGATGTGCCATAAGAAATGATGAAAGGGACAGTTTCAGTGAAACCTAGGAAAACTTGTATAAACTCATGCAGAATGAAGTGCATAGAATAAAGAGAACAATTTATACCATAATAACAATGTAAAACAAATAATTTTGAAAAACTTAAGAACTCTGAAGAATACAATGACAAATCCTGATTGTAGAAGGATAAAGCACACAACCCATCTTCTGACAGAGAAGTGATGCAGGGTGCAGATTATGACATACTTTTTTGGACATAGCAAATTTGAGAATGTTTTTCCTTACTGTGCATACGAGACAAGAATTTTGTTTTTCTCTCTGTTTTTTTAAACGGGGGTGAGAGGGTAAGAAAACTTTATTGAACAATATTTGTTCATTAAAAAAATAAAATTTAATTCAAATATTGTACGTGGGCTACTAGGACAGGATGTCACATACATGTTCATTATAAAAGATGTTTGTGCTTAATTGTTTTTCTTTTCAGATGAAGGATTCAATTTCAGCAAATGATATTGAGTAAAATGAAAAGCTCAATTAAATTTTTCCTTAAAGAATATGTGTAGGAGTTGGTTTCGTTTTTAAAACATGAGTATGACCAGAAAAAAAAAGTAGAATTTCTACTCTTCCTGGGTAAGAAGCAGTGAATGCAAGTGGCCACCTTGTGCCACCTTGTATGGGCTACTTGACTTCAGAAGGCTACAGATATGGCTTTGGCCCCAACAGAAAATATTCCTGTTCTTATAAAAAAAATTAGATAATTAAAACAATATCCAACTATTAATAAGCTGACAAGAATCTATTTCAGTAGAGTTGAAAAGACAACCTAATAGGAGATTATATGTCTGGGAGGAAGATGCAGGGTACACTTCCTATAAAATGGAGCAACTGGAATTACTGATTGAAACTGATTTACTTACGCATGGCACAATTATAAGGAGTTGAAAGATTCTTATTCATCAAAAATATAGCACCAGGGTCAGATTTTCCAACATGTTTAACTTCAATCTTCTCAGTTCTCGGATTAAGTGACAGCTGCCTCTTTTTCTCTCTGTCAAAGAGCTCATTTCGCATCTTAGCTGCCTCAGTAGTTGACAGTTGAAAAGAAGGTGCTGTAGCTATAAACCCTGGCAAACAATTAAAATGCAAAGTTAAGAGACTTCATCTAAATCACTTTCCCCTAAAGCTACAAGATCAGATGGGGATCCAACAGCATTTTAAAATCCATTCCAAAAAGGTGGCCATCATGACAAGGTACTTCAAGTACATTCAGTAAAACAGCTAAAATGAAGAGAGCTGTATATTCACGCAAAATTTACAAAGCCTGTGAGACAGGGAGGGGATTGATTATTAACCCTATTTTCCGGAAGAAACGGACTCAGATTTCAGCTGACTCGTCCAAGGTCATATGCTACTGTCTGAGGCAAGTTCTTTCACGAATCAAATTTAAGGCAATTCAACACACATTGAACCCAGTTCTAAATCTGACTGCTCTTTATAAGGCACGTCCATGTATGCCCCCCGGGTCTCCTCGCCTGGACCGCGGATAAATGACCACCCCGCTCCCCTGACCCGCCCCCGGCCCCCCACGTACGGAGCCCTGAAGAGGCCCTTCCACGACCACCAGCCGCGGGGGCCACCCCTGGGCCAGACACCCTGCCTCCTTCTTCCGCCTCTTTCAATTTCTCCCCTACAAAAGCAGCTGAAGACACTCACTCGTACCACTCCATGGTAACCGCAAGCGACCCACCGCACCGCACGCCATCACTACAGAAAAAAGAAACTGTGTGCACTTCCGCTCCTCCTCCCCCAGAAACATCCGCCGCTCACTTCGGTTCCGGCCGACTTCCGGCTCGCGGCGCTTGGAGCTTCTTGGCCAGCAGAGGGCGAGCGCCCCCCCCTCGCGTTCTCAGACCGCGCCCAGAGTTCTGGTGTAAATTTCTGCAGCCAAAATCAAACTGGGTGCTCAGTCCCCACTATTCAAGACCGGGCTGCTGAATTCCCAAAAGTTGTGCATGCGCTGGAGCCAGCTTAAAAATTGTTAATTTTTCAGCGCTAGCATTTATACCTTGGAAATGCTACAAATCGGATCTGATTGTTTTGATTGTCTAGACTTAATAAAGTGATGGAGAAAATGCCAATGAGGCAAATTAAACTTGAAAGTGTGTACTGTGCACATTTTGAGAGCCGGTGATTAAACATTTTTCAGCCCTCCACAGTGGATGAATACCTTCTCAGGCTCCTGTATTTTCTGGGAATCTCCCTGAGTGGCTCTGCTGTACTTAATGAAGTACATTGTCTGAAGTACAAATGTCTGGAAGCCTCTCTGATGAATGCTATTCATCCCATCCTTCAATTTAAAGATGTGTTTTTTATTAAGCACTTTGGAATAAACTCTGTGTTTGAACCGAGATGACCTGAATTCTATCTCTGTGGTTATTAAATCATTTAACAACTCTAAGCCTCAGTTTCTTCTCCTATAAAATGAGTGGGTTGGACTACTATAGTTGACCTATAAGATCTAATATGGGAATTTTCCCCCTTTTATTAATCTTTATTATTAGGGGCTTTGGGTCATTTGTCCTTAACTTTGAGTTAACTAAAAACCTGTCTTCTGTTAATGTGAATGTCGCATGACCAAAACCCGATTCCTGGAATAATAATGTTAACGGAAGATTGTTTGACATTATTGTAAAAGCCAGTTTGAGCTCCCCAAAGTAATTTAGTTATTTGTTACATTCTCTAGCTAACTATAAAGGAGGACTTTCTTGGCATCAGGGAAGGAATTTATTGAATTATCCTGGTGATATGAATCAATCAATATATTGTAAACTCTCTAAATGCAGTTTAATCCGTAACCTGACTTAGTTTACCTATAGTCTGTTTAACTAGGTTTGTTACCTTAGAATGAGATTATGACTTCACTTAAATAAATGTTTCAACTTTTAAGATCGAAGAAAGCATGGAATTATGAATCTGTCTTTTCTTTAACTTTTATGACCTAATAGAAATGCACAAGATTGCAATATTCTCTTACAAGAATTATTTCTCTGTCACCGATGTAGTTTTGTCTATGTAAAGTAAGACAGAGCCCCAAGTGTAGGGAAGGAGATCAAGTGAGGCATCTCTATCCTCTTACTCCCCTTTTCCTCTTCTCCAAGGAAAACTTTCATTCCTGCCCAGAGGGGAAGCAAAAGGTTGCTGCCATAGGCCACTCTGCTCTCCTCAGAGAGAGGGGAGTACCTCTAATACTCTTTCTTCAATAAACATACATAGCAAATAGCAAAGAAATCCATTTATCCAAATCAGTAACAAAACAGACATTAGAGAAGGTATACATAGGAGAACATGTACCAGACAATACAGAATGAAGGAGCTCTCCCATTGGGAGTGAGAGAATTCAGTTCAACCAAGAAAGAATGCTCTTAATCTCACCCAAGGAGAAGTTCCCTGAAGTCTGTAGAGTAGGAAGCTGGGGGTAGAGACATGATGAAGAGACAACCAGCTCCTCTCAGGTCTTCCCAGAGTCTTTCAGCAACCTGAAATGGGCCTCTTCTCTCTTCTCTCTGGAAGCTGGAAGCCAATTTGATGCTATGCTCAGAAAAAGACTCTGACTTGAACAGTACCAAAGGGAGCCTCCAGTTCTCCAAAGTAGTAAACTAGCTGAGAACTGAAATGCTCACTTCTCACCAATTCCACCCAAGATCCCTCCAGCAAAGCCAGGCTTTCATCTCCACCAATAGAGACAGAGTTCCATATCAGTGGATTTTGGGGCAGCAGTTACATCAAGAGGAGGACTTGTTCGAATCCTAATCTTCATTCAGCATCTTATGGTCTGAGATCTGAGCCTAGCCTTAAGTATAATCTCTGCATGGTGATAGATATATTTTATCATCAGTTATCTATCATGTGAACTCAAGAAGGAGATAACAGGCTTCTTCCAGCTATAAATTTGTGGTCCTATGATTCTTGTACTCAAGGCACAAAATACACTTGTATTTGTGGGTGACACAAATTGTTGCTCAGTCATTTTCCAGTGGTGTCTGACTCCCTATGACCCCATTTTAGATTTTTCTTGGCAAAGATATTGAAGTGGTTTGCCATTTCCTTCTCCAGCCCATTTTACCAATGAAGAACTGAGGCTAACAGGGTTAAGTGACTTGCCTAGGGTCACACAGCTAGTAAGTGTCTGAGGCTGGATTTTAACTCATGAAGATGAGTCTACCTGACTCCAGGCCTGGCACTCTGTAATCTAAAGGATTACCTACTGCGCAGATTCAATTTAAGTTCGGATCTCAAGATATAATGACAGGTACTCGGGATAAACTTAACAAATAATCACATTTATTTACAATGATTCATAATGATTAAAAACCACACAAGCAATAAAGATAAGAATAATGCAAAAAGTAATAATCAACATAAAGAAAAGTAGGAATAAAAAGAGAAAGGATACACACTCACTGACCAGGCGAGCTCAAATACTTAATAGACCAGGGAGACTGGAGAACGGCCCAAAGGTCTGGTCAGGGAGGCAACGGGGAGCGTCCTACCCGGGAACACACGGCTGTGCACGGGGTCCGCTTCCACAAAGAATCGAGGTCCCCATCTTTGCAACCAAAGTCTCCAAAATCTCCCTTTCCAGTGACCATTTTTATATCCACGTAAACCAGGGGAAAACAATCTTAATATTTTGTTTTGTGTACGTATCCTTGGTGAGCGCTCAGATCCAAGGCTCGCAGGCATCCTAACAGTGGTTGGAACTTGATCAGAGCTCCAACTACCTGTTTGTTGTGTAAGTGTCCAAGAAGTGATCAGTTCCTTGGACAATTACACGCTTTTCTCAAGAAAGAATGTTCCTTGAGATAGATTGTTTTTCCAGGTAACATTGTTTAGTTGTTACTTAATGTTCTAGTCTCCTTGATCCTGGCCATGCTTTGATGACTCCATTTTATCTTTATGTCAGGTCATGAGGCAGTTACCCCATTAGGTCATAAGATGTTACACAAGGGGCTGGGGAAGATCTATCCTCCTCAGTTTCCCTTACATACTCTATCCTGTACGCCACCTAGCTGCTCAGGTGATACAAATACAAAGACAAAAACAACAGTCCCTGCCCTCCAAAGAGCTTACATTATATTGGGAAAATAACATGAATGCAGATAAGTGAATTATCTCCACAGACAAAGAACTATGGAAAGTTGAAAAATTATCAGTTTGATTTATATTTTAATTTACATTTTTTCAATGAATAATTTTTTCTCTCTCCTCTACTGGGAGGAAAAGATTATAAAACCTTTGTAACAAGTAAGCATTTTCAAGCAAAATAAATTGCTATATTGGACATGTCCAAACATATGGTATTCATTGATTGTATAAATAGTATAAATTGTTCTCCTGGTTTTACTGAACTCACTGTTGATCAGTTCATACAGGTCTTCCCAGGTTTGACTAAAACAATATCTTTCTTCATTTTTTACTATACTATTAGTAATATTGTAGTTGCCTTTATAATCATACAACAAAATTTGTTCATTTACTCCCCAATTGATGTACACTCCCTTAATTTACTTTGACCCTACCAAAAGAATTGTTATAAATGTATTTGTGGAAAAGAACCTGTTCATTGATGTCTTTGGAATACAAACCTATAGTCATATGTCTGGGTCCAAAGGCATACACAGCTTAGTAATTTCTAGGCATAGTCCCAAATTAATTTCCAAAACTTTGACCTACAGTGCATCAATGTCCCTGTTTTCCCAGGGCCTCCAACATTTGTGATATTTTTTTGTCAACTTTGCCAATTCAATGGGTGAGGTAGAACCTCAGAGTTATTTGATTTGCATTTTTCTGATTAGTCTTTTGTAGAATTTTTTCACATGATATAGGTAGCTTGAATTTCTTTCCTTGAGAACTCTCTGTTGATTTTAATTGATCATTTAGCAATTGGGAAATGGTTCTTATTTTTATAAATATGAGTTAGTTTCATATATAGGAAATGAGATCCATATCTGAAGAACTTGATGCAGTTTTTCCCATTTGTCTGCTTTTCTTCTAATTTTAGCTGCATTGGTTTTGTTTTTGTTTATTTACTCAAAATTGTCCATTTTATCTTCTGTAATCCCCCCTATCCCTTCTTTGATCATAAACTGTTTGCCCATCCATAAATCTGAAAGGTAATTTCTTCCTCGTTCCTCTGATTTGTTCATGATGTTACCTTTTGCACCAAAATCATATGCACATTTGAAGCTTATCTTGGTATACAACATGACTTGCTGGAAGACTACTTTACAGTTTTTATTGAATAGTGTTTTTTTACTCCATTAGCTGGATCTTTAGGTTTATCAAACACTAGGCTACCATATGCATTTCCTTCTGTATATTGTGTACCTAATCTGTTCCACTGGTGAACTTTTCTATTTCTTAACCAGTATAAATTTATTTTGATGATTATTGTTTTATAATATAGTTTGAGATCTGGTACTACTAGACCCTTTTCCTTCCCACTTCCCATGATATACCTTTTATTCCTCCAGATGAATTTTGTTATTTTTTTCCAACTCTATAAAGTAATTTTTGGTAGTTGGATTGGTATGATACCGAATAAGTAAATTAATTTAGGTAATATTATCATTTTTATCATGTTGGATCAACCTGCCAATGAACAATTAACATTTCTTCAATTATTTGTCTGTCTTTATTAGTGTAAATGGTGTTTTCTGGTATTCATATGGTTCCTCTGTGTATTTTCGTAGGTAGGCTCTTAAGTAGTTAATGTTTTCTCTAGCTATTGTAAATGTAAGTCCTCTTTCTGTCTC